CCATAAATTAAATAAAAGTAAACAAACATTTAACCCTTACGTTCTCACATCGTTTATTTAACAATCGTTCTCTCGCAGGGAGTTCTTCACAGCTCTCAAACTGAACACAAAGAAAACTCAAGACATTTGTTTTAGCTCGACTGTGTTTCTGTGGGACGGCCGAGACTCGAGCAGAAGCCACGTGCATCGCATAACACTGTGTGTGAGTATGTTTATGTGTGTGAGAGCCATCAAATGTATACAGTACATGCGTAAACATGTGCGGGGATGTGAGTGTGTTTGTGTGAGCTACACGTGTGTTTACGCCGTCTGGGTCGGGACTGTAGCCTAAACACAGCTCTGTGCTTCTGCCCTTCACATCAGCGCTCGCTAATGCGTTTCAGATTCAGCGTTCACACACACACACAACTTCATGAAAAGTCACGTTTCAGAACGAGGAAAAGGCAGATTAGGCATGTTCTCTGTGCATTTACAAGAAAGCAGAAACTGGTTTGACACGTTTTGATTTACCAGAAAAACCACACAAACCGCCTAATCTCGCTGAGGTCTTCTACTTCTCAGATGTTTCTGATTTTAAAATTGTCATTTTGATCAGCCAATCAGAGGTCATTGGATATTTAAACGACCTCTGATTGGCTAACATCTGCGCAAATTATCTTATCAAAGTTGCTGTATATTGAGTTTTTCATTATATGCAAATATGGAAGGTTGCATGTTAATGAGATGGAAGTGATGTCATAATCACTATGGCTTCTTTATTTACATGTATTGCCATTTCTATTAGCCAATCAGAGATCATTAAACATGTAAACGACCTCTGATTGGCTAACATCTGAGCAAATTATCTTCAAAGTGGATAAAGTTGCAGTATATTGAGTTTTTCATTATATGCAAATATGGAAGGTTGCATGTTAATGAGATGGAAGTGATGTCAGTATTTAAATGTATTGCCATTTTATTAGCCAATCAGAGGTCATTGAATATTTAAACGACCTATGATTGGCTAACATCTGCGCAAATTATCTTCAAAGTGGATAAAGTTGCTGTATATAGAATTTTTTTTTATATGTAAATATAGAAGGTTGCATGTTAATGAGATGGAAGTGATGTCATAATCACTATGGCTTCTTTATTTACATGTATTGCCATTTCTATTAGCCAATCAGAGATCATTAAACATGTAAACGACCTCTGATTGGCTAACATCTGAGCAAATTATCTTCAAAGTGGATAAAGTTGCAGTATATTGAGTTTTTCATTATATGCAAATATGGAAGGTTGCATGTTAATGAGATGGAAGTGATGTCAGTATTTAAATGTATTGCCATTTTATTAGCCAATCAGAGGTCATTGAATATTTAAACGACCTATGATTGGCTAACATCTGCGCAAATTATCTTCAAAGTGGATAAAGTTGCTGTATATAGAATTTTTTAATTATATGTAAATATAGAAGGTTGCATGTTAATGAGATGGAAGTGATGTCATAATCAGTATGGTTTCTTTATTTACATGTATTACCATTTCTATAAGCCAATCAGAGATCATTAAACATGTAAATGACGTCTGATTGGCTAACATCTGCGTTTCTCCCATTCAGATGTTTCTCCTAAATAAATAAAGTATTATCAAGAAAATAAGATCTATAAAAGAGCAGGTTCAGGCCTTCAATATTCAGTCACATGCTTTCTTAAGCTTATTGAAAAGCCAATTCCTGGAGACGTCAAACTCTTGTTATTCTCCGAACATGTTTCAGTGAGACAGAGAGATAACATGCCACGTCCCGGGTTCTCATTCATCTTCATGAGGGAAGGAGGAGACGGGCCGTTTGTTGCGATGTGTGTCTTTGTCACGGAGAATAAATCAATGTCGGCCCGTGCAAAACTCCGACACATTAACCACAACTTACTCACGAGCTGCCGGTCGAGCGAGACGCCTCGAAACATTCGCCACGGGGGAAGAGAAATGACTCCACGCTAATGACAACAGCGGAATAAAGACTGGCCGAGAGACAAGACTGTGTGATTTATAACTGTTCAAGCATGTTAATATTCATCACTCATGGAGAGAGGATCAAGATATGAGAGGAACATTTGATCAGAGATGTGATATATTAAAATAATATATAAACAATAATTATATATACACACTACATATATATATTAACAATAATTTTAGATATATAATTATGATTATATATATAATATATATGTTTTATAAATAAATCAGTTCATATATATATATATATATATATATATATTAAATAATAATACTACTAATAACATAATATATATAAGAGTAATAGTATTGAATTATTTCTAAACATAATATTTGGAGAATATTTTGAATTGGTGAATATATCTCAGAGGAACATTTTCTCACTCAGAAAACTTAATGTCGTTCATATTTAAGCATCAACAATTCTTGAGGAGAAAAAAAAATAGACAAATGATTTATAGCTGACGTGTGTCTAAAGCAGTGTGAGGCAGTGTTGAGATCCTTCAGAGACATGTGAGATACTATGTTTGCTGTAATATCTTGTGTTTTTTTGTTCCAGCCAAATGACGCAGCACGAATGATCAGATGTCTGCGTTTATGTGTGTGTGTGTGTGTGTGTGTGTGGGTCATTCAGTTCACCCACCTGTTGCCCTCAGGCGTGAATCGACCGAATGAAACCACCTTCACCTTGTCACGACAAGTTTTCCTCTCGCTCGCTCTAATTGTGCTTCTTCTACAGTCTAAACATCACAGCGGCGCTCCACACACACACACACACACACACACACACACACACACACACACACACACACACACACACACACACACACACACACACACACACACTCGAGTCTGCACATTCAGCCATCAAGATCAGATCTGCACAAGTCTGCATACACACTCTTTACAGCTTCACCAAACTGAATCACAGCAAAAAAACATATCATACTTCATTTCATCATGACGGGCAGTTTTTGCTGCTGTGCCTTTAAGAAGTCTATATAAATGCCTATTTACATGTGAAATACACATGCTGTCTAGTCCAGTCTCTTCATTCTTCAATAACAGCTGAAATGTGCCACTCAAACTGTTCAGATCAGACTGAAGTGATCAGCGATGTTGTTGCATACACCCCTGAGGGCTGTCGTATGTTATGCGTAAGGAGCGTATGAAACTTTCAGAGGAGACTGAGATTCATCACAGGTGCTCGAATGAAGAGGCAGACGGGAAGTGCAGACACACCTAGAGACGGCGCCATGATTCAATCTAAATACTGTATGTGTCTCGACAACACACACACACACACAACACTGACACAGACATACTCACAGAGACAGATACACACACACACACACACACACACACACACTCACATGTCTGGTTCGCTTTCTTTGTGGGGACTCTCTATAGACGTAATGGTTTTTATACTGTACAAACTGTATATTCTGTCCCCTTAAACTAACATGACCCCTAAACCTGCCCGTCTCACACACACACACACACACACACTAACCCAACCCCTAAACCTGCCCGTCTCTCACACACACACACACACACACACACACACACACACACACACACACACACACTAACCCGACCCCTAAACCTACCCATCACAAACATACACACACACACACACTAACCCGACCCCTAAACCTGCCCCTCTCTCTCACACACACACACACACACACACACACACACACACACACACACACACACACACACTAACCCGACCCCTAAACCTGCCCGTCTCTCTCTCTCACACACACACACACACACACACACACACACACACACACACACACACACACACACACACACACACACACACACACACACACACTAACCCGACCCCTAAACCTGCCCGTCTCTCTCACACACACACACACACACACACACACACACACACACACACACACACACACACACTAACCCGAACCCTAAACCTACCCATCACACACACACACACACACACACACACACACACTAACCCGACCCCTAAACCTACCCATCACACACACACACACACACACTAACCCTACCCCTAAACCTACCCATCACACACACACACACACACACACACACACACACACAAACCTGACCCCTAAATCTACCCATCACACACACACACACACACACACACACACATAAACCTGACCCCTAAACCTACCCATCACACACACACACACACAAACCTGACCCCTAAACCTAACCATCACACACACACACACACTAACCCGACCCCCTAAACCTACCCATCACACACACACACACACACACACACACACACACTAACCCTACCCCTAAACCTACCCATCACACACACACACACACACACACACACACACACACACACACACACACACACACACACACACACACACACACACACACACACACAAACCTGACCCCTAAACCTACCCATCACACACACACACACACACACTAACCCTACCCCTAAACCTACCCATCACACACACACACACACACACACACACACACACACACACACACACACACACACACACACACACACACACACACACAAACCTGACCCCTAAACCTACCCATCACACACACACACACACACACTAACCCTACCCCTAAACCTACCCATCACACACACACACACACACTGTCTGGGTTTATTTAGACGACTGTACATTATCTGCTGCAACACCATCATCAGATAGGCTGGAAACACACTCGCGCTCCTGTTGAGCTTCGTTTCACAGATTCTCCGTCACATTATCTCTGAAAATCCTCAAATCTCACGATCACAGACCGGCTTCCTCTACGAGAACAACACACCCGAGGGGAGCGCCCTGTCTGAGGTGGACGAGCTCAAAACTACATGATACCGCCAACGAGAAATAATAGAGTTAATCGAGGCTTATCATTTAAGATATGTGAAATATCAGCACTCTCTGCCAATGCTGGCTCAATAAAATAAGTGGAGCAGAACTAACGGAAATATAATGCATATTCTTCAGGGATCGTACCTTATCTTCCAGCCGGATCAGCCGGGCTCCCACCGTATAATATTCCTTATCCACACCTTTCTCTGGAAACACAAGACCAGGAAATAATACGACAGTCAGAAATTATTCGTAGTTTGTCAAAAGCTCATGTTAATAGTGTTTTATTGAAACACCTGCTCATATAAAAGGTTTCTACACTGGCGAGTGGATGAAAACCAGAGCAATACATTCTACATGAGACAAAACTTGAACATATAACTCTACTCTAATATATTACTTTAAAAGGATCATATTCTACACTTCATTGCAGTCTTCTCCTCTCATAATCAGCTATTTTCCATCCTTTCTCTAACCCTTACAATCAAACAGGCTTTTTGTGCTACTGCGTCTTTAAGACTGCAATATGTAAATGACCTCTGATTGGTTAACATCTGCATACCTGCATAATTAACTGTGTAAATTATCTTCAAAGTGGATAAAAAGTTGCTGTATATTGAGTTTTTTATTATGTAAATATGGAAGGTTGCATGTTAATGAGATGGAAGTGATGTCATAATCACAACGGTTTCTTGATTTGCATATATTGCCATTTTTATTAGCCAATCAGAGATCATTAAACATGTAAATGACGTCTGATTGGCTAACATCTGTGCAAATGATCTTCAAAGTGGATAAAGTTGCTGTATATTGAACTATTTTATTATATGCAAATATGGAAGGCTGCATGTTAATGAGATGGAAGTGATGTCATAATCACGACGGTTTCTTAATTTGCATTTATTCCCATTTTTATTAGCCAATCAGAGATCATTAAACATGTAAATGACGTCTGATTGGCTAACATATGTGCAAATGATCTTCAAAGTGGATAAAGTTGCTGTATATTGAACTATTTTATTATATGCAAATATGGAAGGTTGCATGTTAATGAGATGGAAGTGATGTCATAATCACGACGGTTTCTTAATTTGCATTTATTCCCATTTTTATTAGCCAATCAGAGATCATTAAACATGTAAATGACGTCTGATTGGCTAACATATGTGCAAATGATCTTCAAAGTGGATAAAGTTGCTGTATATTGAACTATTTTATTATATGCAAATATATGATTGGATGTTAATAAGCCGGGTGTGATGTCATAATCACGATGGTTTCTGTATTTCCATTTTTTTTGCAGTTTGGCTTCAATAAATTATCTGTGTTTATACATGGTAGGCTACATTAAACTCTTTTATTTAAAAAAAAGCTATTATAATAGATCATGTGAGCCCTTCGATATGATTTATTCATGCATTTTGAATCTGTATTTGATGTGGGACCGTTTAAATAGTAATTTTTCCTTTACCTGGAAGGAACATTCCCGGTTTTCCCAACGTGTGATCCAGCCTGCGAGAGGAAAAACACAGGGGTTGTTTACATTTACATTACATTTACATTTATGCATTTGGCAGACGCTTTTATCCAAAGCTACTTACATTGCATTAAAGTACACATTTACACTCTTATCAGTTCTTGCTTTCCCTGGGACTCGAACCCATGACCTTGGCGTTGCAAGCGCCATCGCTCTACTACTGTTTGAGCTACAGGAAAGCTGTTTGTAGGGGAAGTGTGACGTCGCGTGTCTCACCTTCTCTGCAGCTCTTTGATACGAACCATCATGTTCAGGTGTCCCTGTGAATACTGCTCGATCACGTCCCGCACGTCGTAGGGCTTCCTCGCTTGCTGCGGGACACAGGCGGCGTCCATCAGGCCATTGTCATCACAGGACACTATTCTTTGAGCCCCCTGGGCCTTGAACTTCCACTCTTTGTTACTTATAGCTCAGTTTAACTCAATAACAACAGCAGCAAAGGTATGCAAGAGCTCTGAAGCATTGCTTGTGAATATTTAAATTCGTTTCGGTTTAGATCATTAATTGGCTGGTCATTTAGTTAGTTAGTCCTCAGACCATCAAACATTGCGCTTCATCCAAAAATCACAAATTTCTGTGTAAATTGTTCGCAAAACTATTTTTGAATCCATTTGGTGACAACTCTATTCAAACAGAAATCCATTCATGAATGAGGCTCATTGAATGAAATAATTTAATTCATTTTATTCCTATTTTAGTGTATATTTTTAGTTTCAATTTAGCTTTCGTGTCATTAATTAAAGTATTTAAGGATTTTTTATTATGAAAACTAAAGTAATTTTCTCTATAATTTAAGATTTTTATTCATATTTTAGTGCATATTTAGAGTTTCAATTGAGCTTTTGTGTCATTTAAATTATTAAAATATGTTTAAGTGTTTTATTAAGAAAACTAATTTTAATTGCATTTTTATTCATATTTTTGTGCAGAATTTTATTTTCAATTCAGTTCTTGTTTTACTTAAATTCATTAAAATATTTTTAAGTGTGCTTATTATGAAAACTAGTAATTTTCTCTATTTTAATTGAATTGTTATTCCTATTATAGTGCGTATTTAATTTCAATTTAGCTTCTGTCATTTTAATACAAATATTTGTAAAGATTTTTTTATTATTAAACTAGTAATTTTCTATAATTTAAGTGCATTTTTATTCATATTTTAGTGCATATTTATTGTTTCAATTTAGCTTCTGTGTCATTTAAATTAAAATATTTTTAAAGATTTGTTTATTATTAAACTAGTAATTTTCTATAATTTAATTGCATAATAATTTAGTGCATATTCATTGTTTATATATATATATATATATTATATATATATATATATATATATATACATATATAGTTTCTGTGTCATTTAAATTAATTAAATTATTTTTAAGTGTGTTTTTCTTATGAAAACTAAAGTTGATTTCTCTATAATTTAACATAAATTGGCGCATATTTCTTTCATTCATATTACTTTGAATATTCCTTTCACAAATTTCACAAAATAACTATCTCTGGGGTGAGGAAACGTCACTTAATCATGATTCTGACATACAAAATAAAAGTACCTGAAACTTCCGCCGAGCCACGAAGTACTGCATCCGTCGGATGACCTTGATGGCGGATCTGTGCGCGTGGGAAAGTCTGCAGAGAACAAAATAAACAAACACACACACGGCGTCAGAAAACACTGAGCAGGCCGGCTGTAAATGTGTGTGTGTGCGTATGTGGCAGTAAACCTGGCGACAACACACACACAGATACTCTCTAAGGGAGGGCACTTTGGGTTTTTTGGCCGAAACACCCTGTTATTTCCAGCGTAACGCTGCCTTGCCAAAGCTTCTACCCAGAAATACACACACACACACACACACACACACACACACACACACACACACACACACACACACACACACACACACACACAGCAGTCATTTCAGGCCGCGTCCACTGTAAACAGGGCCTAGTGGAAAAACAGCTCATTTCTGCCACTCAAGACTAGATAAAAAAACTTGACCTTGTGCAGACAAGCATCTCAAACGCAGCTTTGGAGTCTGAAATCTCCGATGAAGAGCTCGTCTGCGCTGCTATCAGCGAACGCTCACATCAAACACAGTCTAATGAGAGAGTCTTAAAGAAACAGTGCATCAGTAAATAGAAATTCTGATTGGCCTCATGTCACTCCAGACCCCTGTGACTTTCGTTCTTCATAACATTCTGCTAAACATCTCATTTAGCATTTTTAACAGAAGAAAGAAAGTCATGCGGCTTTGGAATGACATGAGGGTGGAGCGAATGATGTGAGAATTTATTTTTGGAGGAACTATAAATTTAAGTGTGTGTGTGTGTGTTGGATGATGCTGAGTGATGAGTGTGTGTGTGTGTGGGGTGATCGGTGTGCGTTGGCCACTTAAATTGCTTTACAACATTCCACAACAAACACTTCAGACAGTAGGAGAAGAGAATGGACTACAGTGCAAACAATCGCGGTGCTTTTGAGAGGATAAATGTTCAAGAGGGTGTCACTTCCTCCTGATAACAACCAAACAGAAACATGCGTCACAAATACGTCATGATACGTCATTCAAAACCCATTTATATATATATATATATGGGTTTTGAATGATATATATCTGATATGTCATGACGTATTTGTGACGCATGTTTTTGTTTGATTGTATTAGAAAGAAGTTATTTATTAATATCTGTTTTGTACCATTGTAATACACTGACAACCACCGATCACAGCAGTGATGAGAGTCACATGATCAATCAAGGCTCATCACAAGTAGCTCTTCCACAATAAAGTTTATAGTATTATATAGAAGCTGCACAGTGTCATTCACACACACACACTAAACACCATCATGGTACATGAAATTTAAAAAATGCAATAAACACTAATTTAACCACATTACATGTAACATAAAATCCTAATGTACATAACTGATTAGAAAAAAAACTAAGAAAACTATGAAGAAACATAGTTATTTCAACAAAAATACATAAAATGTGAAGTGTCACGCAGGGAATTGTGGGAATGTCAATTTACGTTTTTTCACTGTAAATTATACGAGTTGTTCTTTTTCACTTCCAAAAACTGTAAATCTAACAGTATTTTACAGTAAAATTACATTAAATATACCATTAGATCTATCACACTTATATTTACCGTATATAGTGAGGAAACTTTCTGTTAACCAATTAACAGTTTTGCACTGTAGCATTTTTACAGTCTTTTACCGTTAAAATCACGATCATTTTTTACAGTCAATATATATCGGCCACCAGATCGGTATCGGCCGATATATGTTCATTTTTAATGTTATCGTTATCGGCCTGATAAGAAAATTTGTCCAATATATATTAAAGCGGATAAATAATGTATTATGTCCTTCAGCTGAGACACTTCAGATGCGCACTGTTCACCATGATGGTTTTGAATTGCTTGAAATATGATTGGAATCACTTCAAAAAAGGAAAATACGGTTCAGTGCAACATGTGCAGCGCAAGTCTGTCCTATAAGCTTCATTACATTATAATGAGATCATCATAATTGTGTGGTTGGGTCATGGCCTTTAATGGTCAGACTTTTGCTTTTGTAATCAGGCTCTCAGAAATTATATCAACATTTAGATTAAGATTTATCGGCCAATCTATCGGTTATCGGCTTTCCAAATATAAAGAATTATCGGTATCGACCAAATTTTTATATCAGTGCATCCCTAGTGTATATGCATATGCATATATATATATATATATATATATATATATATATATATAATATGGATTTAAATCCCATATTTGACGTATCATGACACATTTAGGCTATATAAATAATATAAAACTTTCAAATAGCATATATATACGCTATATATACATATTTAGCTCTCTCTATATATATAACAGGAAAGCTGGAATAATATAAATACTATAAAACTTAAAGAATTCATATACATACATGTATGTTGTGTGTGTATATATATCACACACACACACACACACACACTCTGTCACTAAAGCCGTTCCCTGAGTGTCCAACAGAAGAGGAGACGTGTTGATTCCTCTCAGCTTGAGTCTGTCGTGATAAAGCTCTCTGCGCTGTCACTGATCTACAAAACACATATCACTTCCTTCTGTGGCCTCCGCCGCTGCGTCCCTGTCCCGCACAAACACACACACACACACACACACACACACACACACACACACACACACACACACACACCTCGTCTTCATTACAGGACAAAAGCTCCCAGCAGTCCCAGCGCTGACACACACACCATAAAACACACAGATCAAAGCGTCTGTCCTGTCCTCTCGCAGGAAATGCATGCCAACAATACGAAAACATCCAGAGCAGGACGATGCATGCGTGTGTGTGTGTGTGTGTGTGTGTGAAAGCTTGTGTGTGAAGATCCCAACATGATTGGGAAAGAAAACACATGCCCTCAAAACATGAAACACATGCTGTTTAATCAGGAAACTGCCTCCTCGCATTACAGCAGCCCATGGACACACACACACACACACACACACACACACAGACACACGCCTCGTGCAGCGCCGCAACACGCCTGACACATGTTCACTCCGTTCTACACATGCAAAACATTTAACAAGATCACTGAACAACACAACTAACGGCTCTTTAGGCAAGCGTCACGATTATAGTGTTCACTCGTAGGGTTTGTCCAAACCTCACACTCGTCCCGCTAGAATCATGTTCTCTTACTAAACCTTTTCACCAATTTACCACCGTAACATTTCTGCTGTAACTGCTTCATTCTGATTAAATCAGCATTGCATGGGTTCAGTTCCCACAATGTAAAAATGGCCTTAAATTGTTAAGTACAATCAACTTGGATGTTTAAGTCATTTCAACTTAAATGACATAAAACTGACTTAAAGACATGAGTTGAATCTTGTATAACTTATAAAAAAGTTGAAAATAACTTATTTTGATAAGTTAAAGCAATGTAAAAACACATGTTGTCATAACTTATTGATCATATAATTTTAAATGCGTGAACTGATAAAAATAATAATGTAATGCAAGTTGCTTTGGAAAAATGTATCTACCAAATGCATAAACGCAGATTCGGAGAGATTCACATTTAAATCATTTTGCAAATCAATTTTGAAAAAAAAAAGAACTGACTCACGAGAACAATTCGTTCACTACTCACACATCACTATGGGTTCCCAAGTTTTATTCTACATGACAGCAATATTCAGAAATATTTATGTATAAAAATATAAATGTTTTCATGATTCATGAATTCCATTGTTTCTATTGTTCTCTAGTGTAAAAATGTTACAGAAACTAATCACATTCTGCACTTTTATAATTGGCAACATTTTACCAATATATAACATGACACCATCGTAATTTGCATAATTGGTATGCATACAAAGATTTGCATAAAATCTGTATTTTGCATTTGTTTTTAACCCAAAAACTGTTTATTGTTTAATGTTTTATCCCAGCCAACAGTGAAATAGCATTGGTCCATAATGCTGCATATTAAAACTCAAGTAAGTTCTGATTGGCTGTGATTTTCTTAGTATTTTGCTCTCAATGAGGACCGAAAAATTGATTTACAGGAGGTTGCGTTGAACTGACAGCTTTTGGAGACGCCGGTCCGCTTCATTTCCACATACACTGAAAGAAAATTGATGTACCCTTCGCAGGGAGCTTGATTGACAGGTGATCTGACCAATCACACTTCGCCATCCGCCATTTTGTCCGACAAAGCAGTCAGGAGAGTTAGTAGATTAAATGGGAGGATTTGAACTTGAAAAACGGTGTACTGATGCCTTTCTGCGGTTAAAACAACATTCCTTCTTATGTTAATTCATGTTTATTTGATGCTATACATGAACTAGAAGGAAGAGATGATCGGATCACGAGCAGCTTTAACTGATGCTCTACAGCGATCTGTCACGACACATTAAAGAGCCACAAAACGGTATTTATTGTTTAAATTTCTTTTAAAAAAATGACCAAATTTGAAAGGTGAGACTTTGTTTAATATGTTTAATATCAAAAGTAACCGAAAAGTAACCTGGTCTGTCCTGTCTGTCAGCGTGTTGTCAGTCCGCAATGTATTTTTCACTGCGTGAGTACATGGTGTGTGTGTGTGTGTGTGTGAGAGCAGCGTAGCTTGTCGGACATAGCGACAGTAACTAAGGGGGGCGGGTCTTTGCGAACGGTCAATTATCACTCAGATATTGCTAGTAAATTTTACAAATGATGCCAAAGAAACAGCGAGTAACGCACTGAATTACACATGAATTTTTCTAAGTAGACAGAGTGAAATAATTTCTTTCTCCAATCTCCAGTAATCTTTGTTTTATTTACAACTTCAAAAAAATCTGTATTAAACGTTTATCAACAGTTTTGATCTATAATACAAGTAAAATAGCAAGATTCTTTTGAAATTAAACAGGCTACTGATATAAAATAGCAAACTACATTGGTTCAACTTTATGTCGGCATGAAACAGAAGTTGTGATGGTCTTTTCTTCCCTGATGTGACGTATATCCAAGTGAATCTGCTTCTCAAACAAGAACAAATGTGGGCGGGGCTTGATTTTGTCTGTGGGGAATTGATTGGATGGTTGGTGGATCTCATGTGAGTGACAGGTTGCCCCGCCCTCGTCATCAGAGAAGAGACACATGGATTTAAAAAAAGAATGATGTGCACATATACATCATTTATAATAAAAACTGCAATATTCCATTAAAAAAGCATTAGTTTCGATTGCATAGTGCCTTCAAGCTGACAGAAGTATTTTGCTCTCAATTAGAACAGTAAAACAACACCTTGTGATGACGCATTGATGCACATTAAATCATATCTGGTGGTGTACGCTACAGAGATGATAAAGCTGGAGAATGGTGGCTCCAGTAGCGCCATTAGCACGCGTGTGCAGAGCCGCTTGGCTGCGCTCCGAGAGGAGAAACTGCTGACTGAGAGTGTGTGCCAGAAGCCAAACCATGGTGTGTGTCTCTCTTTTCTTTTTTTCCCTCCTTTCCTGCCGTAACCCCGAGTGTATCTC